AGCCCCAGCCCAGCCCCAGCCCAGCCCCAGCCCAGCCCCAGCCCAGCCTTCCTCCTCCTCCTCCTCCTCCTCCAGCTCCGCCGCCGCTGCCGGACACGCAGCCGCAGGCCGGGCCGGGACGCAGCTGGGAAGTGAGGGACGCGCGCAGCCAGCCCTTCCCCCTCCGGCTACCGCACCGCCGGCCGCCTCCCCTCGCCCTCCGCTCCCCTCCCTGCTCCTGCTCTTCTCCTCTCCCGGCCCCGCTGCCAGCACCATGTCCGCAGGGGGAGATTTTGGGAACCCACTGAGGAAATTCAAGTTGGTGTTCCTGGGGGAGCAGAGCGGTAAGTAACCCCGCCGGTTTCCTTGGCTCGGCGCCTAGTCGACCCCCCGCAGCCAAATCTTTCGCCCCTCTGGGACCCCGGGCCCCGCCTCGGAAAGGCCCCTCGGGGCCGGGATGGAGGGGAAGGAGGGGGCGGTGGAGGTCGCGGCCGACTCGGGCGGGGCTGGCAGGGGAGGGGCCAAGGGTAAGGGCGGAGGAGGCGCTGGGGCTAGAGGTGGGGGAGAGGGTGGGATCTGGAGTGGGAGTTAGGGTGCAGGTGGGGCGCGGCGGTGAGGCCGGAGGGCGGCGGCTCCCTCGCGGCGCCGACCGAGGCTTGCGGGCTCCGGGGTCGCCGGCTGGCTCGCACTGCGGCACCGGCTGCGGGAGACCACGCAGGTGGCAGGGCGCGGCGGGGCTCGGGCGTCTAGCTGCCCCCCACCTCGCTGCATCAGAGGGGTGCCCAGGCGGACCCTGCCCAGAATCACACGTAATCAGTGGCACTTCCAGACCCTGGGGCCGACACCCGCGGAGGGAAGATCGACACCTGTCTCCTCTGGATAGAGTGTGCAGGCCGGCCATGGGGGAACAGGGCGCCTTCCTCCCCTGCCTGAGGTCTAATTGGGCTCAGAAGGTTCTAGACCCGCTGCCCTTCAATGGCTTGTGTTAGCATTGGGGGAGTCAGAGGCTTGGGCAATGACAGCGAGGGTTTCTTCATTCGAGCAGATTTGGGGGATGGTAGAGGGGCTCTTCTCTCCAAAAGGCTGTGTTGCCTGGCGCTGGGCAGAGAAAAGGACCAGGTGACACGCCCTGCCTGACTTCCCAACACCCCACGGAGAGCCTTGGCGGCGGATTCTTCCCACCCCCACCTACCAGCCACCCTTCTTGGGGGAGGGGAGGTCAACGTGGCTGTCGGCCAGGGGTGGGGGAGGGGTAGAGAAATGGCTTCCTTGCTGCCCAGCAGCCTTCCTGGGAAAAGCATCACAGAAACCCAGGTTGGTCTCAGGGTAGGGAGATTAGATGGAAGACCATGGACCCCTCTGACACCTGTAGGAAGGAATGGTTCTCAGAGAGCATCTCTCCAGAAACCTCTCATGGTGTCTTGCAGAGACTAACTGACTGGGTAAAGGTGATACCTGGGAGCAGGATCCCAGTTCCATTTCTGAGATCTAGTCCAGCTCACCTGGTATGGTGCCTGTCTGTTCAAGGGATCAACACACAGGCATCCTTGGGGGCACCTCGTGGAAACAAGAACAGTGCTACTGTGATGTGTGTGCATGTAAGTTGTGGAGGTCACATGGTTGTCTGCTGCTGTTCAGAGAAGGGAGTCAGTGTGGGCAAGCCATAAGATGGGGGTGGGTATTGGTCCAGACCGCTGGGCATTCCAGAACAAGAGCACTCAGCCTGCCTTCGGTGTATCCCAGACACTGGTCTCTGATCTTAGTAGATTCCACTCTTGAAGCAACTTTTCCCTGTGCCAGAGGAATTTCCAAGCCTTTCCATCCCAATACTGGTCTTACTGAGCCTGGAATCCTGGGGGGAGAACTCTGCAAGGTTCAGGAGGCCTAGGAGTTGAAGCTCTGCCTGTGTTGCCTCGAGCAGATTGAGGCCTCTCGGCCTTACTTGTGTCACTGTAAAGTGGTAGGTTAAGGACCTGTCTCTTAATCTCCTTGTTTCCTCAGTGTTCTCAAGGGGTCTGAACCCTAGATGTTCTGAAAAAAGCATTTGTTTATTCCAAGTATGAACATGCTTTGGGGTTGGGTCAAGGGGTGTTGAGGAGAATGTCTATGGTGAGCTTGAGTGAAAACACTGGGCTCTGTCAGAGAATTCCTGATGGCTCCTGCTGAACTCCCTTGGTGCCTTAAATCACAGAAGTGATAGCTGAAGGCATCAGAGATGGAGTCCCCATGCCCAGCCCCCCTTATGGTTAGACACGAAGTCTGATCCCAGAGACAGGGGAGGACTTGCCCAGCATCCCATTATGAATTCTTAGTAGTTGTAATGCTGGAACCCAGTCGCTTATAGTCACTGACCTGTCACTGGGAATTCAGATAACCTTGAATAGGGAGGGGATGCCAAGAATTGGGGACCCTTCCTGAGGGAAGGATGAGGCTGCCACTATCTGGCCAGGCTGTGGCTGACCTGGTGGGAATGCTGGATGACTTAGTTGGAAGCTAGGTTTATGGACCCTGGGCACATGGGCCTGAGGGACAAAATGCACTGCCATCAGTGAGATTGACTACTGGCCACTCTGGTCCCATCTGGCAGGAAGCCCTCAGGCCCTGAAAAGCCTCCTCCCACTTTGTTGTGGCACTAGTGGCTTGTTTACCTTGGATTTTACAGAGCTCTGGAGTATCTCAGGTAGGGGAAATGTGTATCCTGAGCCTGGTGCTGGGGGTTGGGGTGGGGTGGGGAGGTGGGGGGAATTACCACCTCAGCTGCTGCTTCCATTTTACCTCACGCAGCTTTGCGTGTATGGTCCTTTGTGCCAGCATCCTCCACAGCCTGTGCAGTGGACGGGGCCTCTGGGGTCTGGCCCTCACCCCTACCCCAGCGCCCCCTTCCTGTCTGGCTTACTGAGTCCCTTACCTGTACATGGGATGGTGTTAGGCTGGCAGAGCTGAATGGAGCTGCATGAACTAATCCCCTGAAAAGGGGCCAGGGAAAAGGATCGGAGGGATGGGGCTTTTTCTTGTTTCCTGTGCCTGCCATAGAGATAGCATCACTCTAGGCCAGCAGAGAAGGCGCTTGGGTTCCCAAGAGGAGTATAGGGCCTGGGACACAGTGATGTGGAGGACACCCTGTGCCAGATTATCCCAGAAGGCATCAGGCCTTCACAAATATCAGGGGCATGTGCTGACTGGCGACCCTTGAGGTGGCACTCTGAAAGAGCCCCTCCAGCCCATGAGAGGGCCTACTCCTCCTTGGAGCAGAAAGACCACTGTCTCCTGGCCCAGGAAATACAGGCTGATTGACACTGTCAGCCTGGCAGAGGGAGGGCTGTGGGGCGAGAGCTGTGGTGCCTGGATGAGGGGATTCCTTGCAGTAGAGAGGCTGTGAAATCCTGCAGATGCCCCGATGGCTCTCTCGGCCAGGTAGCCAGGTGGCCCTGTCCGCGTGCTTACAGCAGTAGTAGGGGACAGAGTGGGGTGATACACACAGTCCTGAGTGAGGCACTTGCACTCCCAGAGAGGGCAGGCTTGAGCAGGTGTCTAAGGAAGGCGGGCCGGCCTGCATGTGTTTCTTCTGAGTGTAATGGCATTCTATGGGACTTGGCTTCTCTGGACCCTTCTCAGTGTGTGGTTGGGAGGAGGGATGTGGAGTGTGTCCTGTGCTTGCTCTGGCTTCTAATCTCCCTTCCCTGAGACTCCTTCAGCTGAGCAGGAAGACTGTTGATTACAAGTTGGGGCTGCTGTCCCAGCTTCTCACGCTGCCCAGCCAGGCTCCTGTCTTGCCCTTGGCAGTGCTGCACCCTGAATGGCCTGTCCACACTTGTGCTGGGCAGTGACCCTGCCAGCAGCTGCCTGCATCATTGAGTCACTTGTTCACGCTCTCCTTCCCTCCCATCCACCCTTCCTCCTGCCATCATCTGTCTGTTTCATCAGATCGCTGAGTCTATCCCTGCTCTGGTGGAACTTACGATCCACTAGGGAGCATGGACATCTGTGAATATCATTACAAGGAAAGGTCTGCAGGAGCTGTGGCAAGGGAAGAACAGCTGCTTTCAAACACATAGATAGCAGCTGACCAGCCTTTTGGGGGCAGGTGTCAGTGTGAGAGGAGGATTTGCTTCTGTAGGCAACGGGCCAGCACTCCATGTCTTTGGGTTGGATGGAGAGAGTAGTCTTGCAAGGGACGCAGCCACTCTGCTGAGCTTTGTTATTGCCTCCTGTGGAGAAAAAGTACATGGGGAGGGTAGTGGAGAATGAAGGAGACTGTCAGTATCTTACTTGCTGGTACACAGTAATGACATCACCCCACCCCACCCCATTTTCACCCCATTCCTCAGGGCCACACTGTCTGGGGGGTTACCATCCCACCCATGGCCTGGCAGTCTGACCCCTTCCTTCCCACCCCCCAACAACCACACAGGGACCCCTTTGCCTGCCTGGATGTTGTGCTTGGAACCCACCCCAGAGTTTTCTCTTCTCCATCACTTCTCAGATCCCCTCAGTGGCATGGCTTTGTTTTTGAGCATTTTAAAAAAATAGTCATATGCTGCTCTATGACCTCTCAGTTGTCACACTCAAGATTTTGAAATTTTATTAATTTCTTTAGATATAAAAACCATAGCTGATTTTTAAGCCCCTTAAGGAAAACTTAAGCACTTTAAGAGGAGTAGGTCTTAGTCATCTTTCTCCCCTCCCTACCTACAGATTTGTGCTCATTAATGTGATTTGAAAATGATGAGATTATCCTCACTGTTCAGGATTTGCTGATGGCACATCATTGTTGATTAAAAGTGAAAGGGTCAACTGGGGGTGGGGGGAGGGAAGTGCCTGGGATTATGGTGATGGCACAGGAGTGACTTGGTTATGGGAAACTCGAGGGGATTACAATTGAGATGGAAAAAAAAATGTACAAAATGATGTAAAAATAAATGTTATAAAAAAAAAGTACACCATTCAAAAAAAAAAAAAAAGTGAAAGGATCAAGGCAGCTTTGAAATCATTTCACCTGCTGCTTTCTGAAGCCAGAGATTTTTACCCGCAGCAGCTTAAAACTTACAGAGAGCTGGCTCTTTTAGCCCTGCTCATGCCCAGCTCACAGGTGAACATGGCCAGTCCGTCACAGGTGAACATGGTCAGAATGCAGAGCCTGCATTTCTCCCTTCCCCAGGCCGCCAACTTGGCCATTAGAGCAGAGGTACAAAGCAAAGACATCCGTCCCAACCCAGTGGCCACAGCTTGCTTTGCTACCTGGCCTAAATCACCACGGTGCCCTGGGCCTCTAAGCAACTTGCTTTCACTCCTTCCAGTTTCTTGCCTGCCTCAGTGGCTGGATTGAAAGAGGAATCCTGGGATA